AATTTGTATCCCAATTATGTGTTTGTCTCCCTCCCTCCCAACTAATGCCATGAGCTACCTCTTTTTGTTCACTCAACACTAGCTCAGTGAGCACATGATAGGCGCTCCACATGTATTTGAACAAATCAGTAACAAAATGGAATTAATGTAGTATGTAGGGAAAGGGAAAGTGACGGCCTTGTTCTTAGGAAGTAGATGGCTCCTATAGTCCCTGCTGGTAGCCCCCAGGATAGACACCTCTGATAGCTTAATTCAAAGTCCCACTATTAAATCATGTCAGTGTGTTAGAGGCAGTCACCTGAATATGCCTCCGTAAGGATAGAGAGTGGGGCGGAAGGAGGTGTACACTTGTGAGCATGTAAGACACAGAGTTTATTCTTGTGTTTTTATTATTTATTAGTTATTGTACTATTTTCCATACAAACAACTGTAAACCTACTCTTGCCCTACCCTGTATGCCTCATAGACTTAAGAAAAATGACAGATCTAGAAAGAGCAGAACTCATCATTTTTTAACAAATTAGCTTTATATCTAGCCCTGGGTTAGCAATCTCCTGCTTGAGTAACAAGGACAGCTTTTCATCCCGGATGGTGGGATCTGATAGGTGATAAGAAAAGGGAAGGACCTGCTGCAAAGGAGCAAGAATTGTGGCGGACGTGAGCAGCTGGAAAGAGAAGCTTTAGACCAGAGAACTGCTGGTGAAGCAAGGCTCTGGGTGTGGAGGGGAGTCAGCTGTCCTGCTGCCTCCTGATTCCGTGCTGTGCTCGTTGACCCTGCCGTAAACAGTGGGAGCCAACACCCAAGTGACTCATAGCCAGATATTACCTACCAGTAGGCAAAGCTCGCCCGTAATCTGCGATGGATAGTCGCACCTGCCTCAAAACAGAGCGCCTGCCCCTCGCTTAGCACCAGCATTCCTGCTAATCCAAATTCCTCTCCTTCCCTGTGCTCCAGTTGGAGTCCGGTCCACCAGGATGGTGGATTCTATTACAGCTTCATTTTAAAATAGTAATTAGTTACTCTGGGGTTGCCGATGCTGGAGTCCACACTTCCCAGTTTAGTAATAACATCACTGCCCTTTTCACTCTAATGCTAAGTCAGGGGTGGTGGTGCTGGTGGAGTTGATGGGGGTCCTATGTGCCAGATCTGCTGGCACCTTTCCCCCCCCTAGATTGACACTACTATGAGGACACACAAAAAATTAATATCTAGCCCAAATGACGTATCAATAACAATTTCCACATAAAGATGTAAAAGGCATTTTTATGGCATATGTTTAAAAATCAAAGTGCCTTTTTGTTGTATTTTTTCTGTTTTGGTGGCACCTGTTAACCTGGCATTCTGTGCGACACATTTGTGCCAAAGGTGACAAATCCCCAAACTCTGCCATCCGCGGAGCAGTAATAACAATGGTGACGGTCCCTACCATTTTCACCTTCAGGCTAATTGAATATACGTGGAAAGGAAGCTGATGTGAACTGTGCTAGCAGAGTTCAGAAGCAGTGGTCNTGTGAACTGTGCTAGCAGAGTTCTGGTGCCTGTGTCCAGACCGAGCGTGTAACATTTGGGGCTGGGCCTTAGGAACTGGCGTTTAGGTAGGGCTGGGCAGTGGCAACTAAAATGGGGCGGGGACAGGAAAGCACAAGATGTTCGGGTGACACTGAATCCACCACGGCGCCTGGACCTGTGTGTTGATACAGAGGAGTAGCGGAAGAAATAACTAGAAAGCTGGATAAGGTGGAGTGATTCCTGCTCCCTGGAAGAAAGAGCTAGAAAGACGGCAGAGGCCCCCGTGGAAGGCAGGAGGGACTGGACTTTCTCCAGGAAGCAGAGGGCCACTGGAGATGGGGAGTAACATGACGGGGGCCACACGCCGAGCCTTTTCGGACTGTGCCGAAAATGTAGCGTTTAAGGGTGAAATTGAATACGCGAGGAGACTGGAAATTGGGTGGTTGGCCATCCAGGCTCGTAAATCGCCTTTTATTGTCAGATAAAATTTGTTTCAGGCCCAGCCGCATTCCTCTTGCATCCAAACGCCCCGTGTTGAGTCAGATCCGTAAGTAAGGGGAAGGAGAACGTTTGCCGCCGCAGGGCGTGAGAGACAGTGGGATGGTACGATAAACCCTCACGATTCCCAACTTCTGAACCCCAAGTATGTACGGTCCACCGAAGCATGTCGTTCTCCCGGTGGCGTGCGACTTCGCCCGAGGGACCAGGCGGCAGCCGCAGGCGGAAGGCGCCCTTCGGAGCCGTGTTCCGCGCGGGCCGCCCTCGCGCCTGCCCGCTGTGGCGCGTTTGTGCCTCGACACGGTTACGTCTGAATTCTTGTCATGGGTGGCACCCTTTCAGAGCCATTTTTTGTTTTGTTGTTTGTAACTACCTTTTCTCCAAAATGGGTTTCGCATAAGCCTGGTTCTTTCCCTTTGAACTCACCTGATTACACCCAGACTGCCTTGTCATCCATCACCTTTCTCTGGCTTCGTATTAGTATCTCTTCGCTGACCGTGTCCCACCTGCCCAGAGCGGGAATCACACACAGGCACACACTCTCTCACACGTTCACATTCATTCTTTAACTCCTTTCAGGAGCGTGGCCACCCCAAAAGCTTTCTGTATCTCAAACGCCGTTTGGAGTTCAGCGGTCAACACTCCCAGCTCCCCGCAGCTCACCTCTCGGCCCTGTGGTCCACAAATGCTCCTCACTACAGTGTCATCCCCCCACACACACCCCGTCTCCTCTCATGTGGGAAACCTGTTGGAAAGTTCTTTAGGATGCCCGGTTGTGAAGGAGGTGGCAGAACCAGTTCTAAATGACCTTGAGTGCCTGAGGTTGGTTTTAAGGAAGAGAGGACGTCCCATAGGTCAGATTCAGCTACAAAGCAGCTTTTCTGTGTCCTAAGACCTACATCAGCTGACTACTTTAAATTAAAATGCATACTGTAATTGACACCTCAGCATATTATAATTGGCATCTAGGTAAGCAGTCTCTAATGAAATGTCAGACTTAATGACTAATTCCAAAATTTAGAAAATTCTAAATCAGATCCAGCATTAACCACGTTTTTTCCTCATGTTCCTCTCTAACGCAATATTGAGGAATGACTAAGTGTTTATTTTTAAAGTGAAAAAGCTAACTTACAGGCTCCTCATCATCTCACGTTTTCCACGATCACTAATACCATAGGCACAAACCCAACCAAGCACATCTGTAATAAAGTTGTTAAACCCATCCGCCCTAGATTCTGCAGGCATTCCCTAAGCAAGAAAAGAAACAGTTGGTACTGTACAATTCCCTAACAAGGTAGAAAGAGGCAAGACGACAATATATTGGTTACTTATTTTGTAACCAGTGTGCATCCCCCACAAGCCAGGCAGAGGAATGATCCAGCCAGAGCTTTCCAGTGTCCTAGCTGGTTCTCAGCTTCTTAAGAAGACCCTAAAATGGTGTAAGAGTTTCCCCGAGCCAGCCGAACGATCCTCTCTTCTTTATCTAGACCTCGTTTCCTCCCAGATTTTCTTCCCTCTGTCATCCACCACTACCACCTTTTTAAAAGCTTTAAAGGGGAAAGCCCGCAGTGGTTGGAGAAGAAATCTGCTGCTCTGAGTATTTTGTTGTAGCCTAAAGAGCTGCTTCAGATTAGAAACTGGAACCGGTGGGTCCCCATGAGCGGGGTGGTGGGCCCTCCAGGTGCGAGCAGTGACCCCCCGGCGTGGGAAGAAATCCAGCAGGTCAGATTTTTAAAATTGCTTCCATTTCACTTAGAATTGAGGTCTGCTGGGGTCGCCATGGACAGGTGACTTTTCTTCCCATCTGATTCTCTCTGGCACGTGAATCGGGCCTGGATGCCGAGTTAGACCGGGCGTGCGGTGTAGGTGGTAGAAGACGCGGTGGAACCTGTGGGCCCGTGTCATTTGGTCTTAGGCACGCTCAGTACCAAAGCTAACAGGAGCTGGCTGTTTCATTGTCTTTATTACCCCAGAGCTGCTGAGGCAGAAAAGAAGTGAAGGCAAGGTGACGGAATCGGTGGGGACACAGCCTAAGAGCAGGAAAGAGGGCTTTTGATGAAGTCGGAATTGGCTCTGTTTTTACCTGTGTCGTTTAGGGTAGACTGGCAGAGCCAGGTATAAACTGCCCTCTGCTGTCTGACACAGAGAAGTGCAGGAAAGTGTCCACTTCTTTAAAAAGTCCTTCTGAAGGCCCGGAGCGAGTAGAAAACAAACTGGGGTGACTGCCGCAGATTTGCAGAGCCCAGGACATCACAGGTCCCCTGGATCCTCTCTGATGTGAAGGCAAGGGGAGGGTGAGAGAGTTGGAGGCATCATAGAAATAGTATTTTGGGGATTTGGAGAGCTGCCTTCATTATTCCAATTATAGCCTTGCTCTCAACGTGTGGGCCGTGGTCCAGCAGCATCAGTGTCCCTGGAGAGGTTATTAGAAATGCAGAATCTCAGGCCCCAGCCTCGGTCCCTGGAATCAGAGTCTCCATGTTAGCAAGATCCCCAGGGGATTCCCGTGCACATTTACCTGTGAGAGGCCCCGAGTGTAACTTCAGAAGGAGCTTTGACCCTGGAGAAGGTGCACTGTGCCCTCAGGTTTGGATCAAACTGAATTCAGTTTGAACAGTGAATATACACAACTGAATAGGAGAGTTTAATCCCCTCATAAGAGCACGATTGCCTTATGCCCTTACTTTCTTAATACTCCCAGTGTAATACGTCCTCACGTATCACCAGCCCTTTGACTTGCCGTATTTCACACGACTCGCTGTATTTCAGCAGCAGCTGGCCCTTACAATGCGCCTGTCCGGGCGAGGATGGAGAGGCGTCGCTTTTCTCCCCGGCGGCCTCTGCGTGTCCCTCACCCTCGTTCGCGCTGGTCCCCTCTCCCCTCCCGACGCCCCTGCTGTCGCCGCGTGAGAGGAGCGGTTGGCCCTGCGGGGTGGAGCTGCCCCGGCTCTGTCCGTCTGTCGCTAACCCCGAGTGTTCTTTTCCGCGCCAGGTCAGGGAAGAGTGCCGGCTCCTGAACGCCCCGCCCGTGCCGCCCCGGAGCGCAAAGCCTTTGTCCACCAGCCCCTCCGTCCCTCCTCGCTCAGCCAAGCCGGCGAGGCAGCAGACCCGCTCTCCCAGCCCCACCTTGTCCTACTACTCTTCAGGGCTGCACGACATGTAAGTCTTCACGCCAGGGCCCCCTTCCGTGCCACTCTGCCGTCGGCCAGGAAGCGGGGCCGTGAGAGCCACCACCTCCGCCGGTGGTGGGAGAGAAAACATTCTTCACGTTTCAAAAAGTATCCCTGCAACAGCATTTCGGGGCCCGTGTTGGCTTTGAGCTAGGATGAGGGAACCAGTGTCCCAGGAAGAAAAGATACCAGAGTCTCTGAGAAATCAGTGATCACGGCCAACTGGGTTCTCTTAGAAGGAGCCCATGGGCTGCCATCGGTTCTCACAGACCAGCCCGAGTTCCTTCCACCTTGAGTTCAACGTGAGCAGACAGACAGCACCTTCCCCAGGACTTAGCAGTGAAAGGGGCCTCTGGCTCGCGTGCTCCTCGAAATGTCATCCAGGGCAAGAAGCCCTTCTTGACCATCGCTGCCAGGTAGTTAGTTCTTCCCTTCTGTCTGGACCCTCCCGGTGCTGAGCTCATTCTTTTGAAATGCAGCTCATTTCATTGTGGGCAGATGCCCATCACGTGTGTAAGAAATCTTTCATCAGGTCGAGTTGAACTCTATCTCCATGTAACTTCCAAGTGTTTCTTCTTATGTCTAGAAAAGCACATATAGGGCCACCTCGCTTCTCTTTGTCAGCCTGTGAAAGTGTGAAGCCCACTAGGCTGTAAGTCTTCTCTTCTTGGTTCCATCAGCTGTGTCCCCTGGTGTCACCGCCTGGTCACCCACCTCTGAGCACACTCTGGCTTCGGTCACCCTTAAACTGTGGCCCCAGAGCTGAATGCACTTGCACGACTCCCCTTGTGATCTTTACAGTCTGAAGTAGCTCGCCTTGGCAGGTATTTTTGTTCTCCAGACATTTAAATCTTTATGCTAATGTGACTCAATGGTATGGAAACCGAGGCAAGCATATGCATTTTATTTGAAGCACTTCCTCCTACCTCAGCCTTTTGGATGGAAATAGAATCATGGGTGGCGGTGATGTAGTCGTGTCACTAGCACAGGATGGCCAGCACGAGGCGCCCATGTGCCGCTTTCACTCCAGCCTTGCGCACTGTAGACATCAGTAATCAGCCCCAGCACCTGTTAATGATGAGCCCAAACGTGCCTTAAGAATTTTTCTCATCATAAAGATCTAGGTACCCACTAACAATGAGTTTCTTGTTAGCTAACAAATAAATTATGTCTTTGCCATCTCCACTGCAGCATTTTAAATCATCATGTTCATATCCATAATTACCAATATATTTTAGTAATTTAAAGATTCTTTTGTTAAAAAATCTCAATGAGGTTAGCAGGTATTTTATTGAATTCATGAAACGAAAAATTATGTTTTCCTAACTGCATTTTTCTACTCAGAAGTAGCATCCATGGGGGAAGGAAAGGCTTGTATCTGACTTTTTTTTTTTAACTGATCTCCCTTTCTGTGTTTGCCTTTAAGCAGCGTTACTAAAAGCGACACCAGCCCTTCTGAAAGTGCTCCTGTTTCCTGCTATCCATGCAACCGCGTGAAAACCGATTCTGTGGACCTGAAGTCCCCGTCTGGGAGCCTGTCCGCTGAAGGGCTCGCCTCCCGGCTCTCGTGGCCTAACCATTACTCGGGAGCCTCGGAGAGCCAGACCAGGAGCGACTTCCTGCTGGACCCAAGCCGGAGTTACAGTTATCCCAGACAGAAGACGCCAGGCACACCAAAGAGAAACTGCCCAGCACCTTTTGACTTCGAAGGCTGTGAACCCTTGGCCAGTCCCACCAGCTCGGCCCCTGCAGAATTCAGTAGCAGCGTCTCCGGTTGTCCCAAGTCAGCCAGCTACTCTCTGGAGAGCACAGACGAGAAAACGCTTGCAGCTAGCTCGACAAAGCAGAGTGTTTCGTGCCCTGCCTTACCCCCCAGGGCCCCCAAACCAGTGGAAGACAAAGCCTCCTCCGGAACTTCTCCTTTGCCTCTGAAAATCGATGGTGCTGAGGAAGACCCCAAGTCGGGGTCACCGGACCTCTCTGAGGACCAGTATTTTGTTAAAAAGGGCATGCAGGACATCTTCTCGGTCTCTTACCCTTTCTCATCTCCGCTCCACCTCCAGCTGGCCCCCAGGTCCTGCGGCGATGGCTCCCCATGGCAGCCACCCGCAGACCTGTCGGGACTCTCGATAGAAGAAGTGTCCAAGTCGTTACGGTTTATCGGTTTGTCTGAAGATGTCATATCATTCTTTGTGACCGAAAAGATTGACGGGAATTTGCTTGTTCAACTAACAGAAGAAATCCTCTCAGAGGATTTCAAGTTAAGCAAACTGCAGGTGAAGAAAATCATGCAATTCATTAATGGCTGGAGGCCCAAAATATAGCCAAATAACCCCAGCTAGCATTGAACAAAACTGATCAGCGTGTGTGCTAGAAGGGGTGGGCCGGGACACAGTTTCATGTTTTTTTGCACTAAAAACCTTCTCTGTAAATGGGGATAAGAGAGACTCTTACTATACAGATCACTTTTTTGAATGGTGAGCAGGCTGTTTTGTACATCAATAAAATGCTGTACAGACACTCAGAGGTGTGCCTTGTACGTCACTCAACACTCAGCAGCTGCTAAAAGACAAGAGGCATGTTCAGAGAAGTCATTCTCACCCAAGTAGGTTTATGCGAGAAGGTATGATATTTATTACAAAATAGCCAAAGCTGAAAGACATAAAAATATTTACAAAAAAAAAAACAAAACAAAAAAACAAAAAAAAACACTTTTGAACAACAATTCCTTCCTTTGGGGAAATCAACTGTAGACCATTAGCTCTGTTCTGTGCTCTGTTGTTTGGGTTACTCAGTGCTCATTTATTTACTCTTGTGCCTGACAATGTTAGTGACATGAAATGACACTTGAACGTTACATGCTTGTTGGGGATCTTTTCATCAAAAGGCGTTTTTCCAAAAGTCATGTGTTGATAGAAGGCATGTGACCTCCTTAGAAATAGTACAAACCATGACCACAATAATTCATCTGTAACTGCTGCTAATTTTATTGAGCAGAAGGAAAAAAAAACAAAAACAGAATACATATATGTGTATAAATGTATACACAGTACAAATGTATATGTTTTAAACATCATTTTGAGTCTGATCATTCAGATAATAACGTCTGTTCACTTCCAAATATCCACCGAGGTTTGGGGCCATTAACTAAGTTGACTCTCTTAGGAACAGTGGACAGAGTGACCCAGAGGTTCTCAGAACCCTGCCCCTTGAAGCTCAGGCTTGTTAGGGCTTCATCGCTGAAAACTTAGAGGAAATCAGTAGAGAGTCTGCACTGAAGAATTACATTTTATTTTAAACCCATTGTGGGGCTGGGTTTTGCATGTAATCCTGCTGTGCTGATGTGCAGGGAAATGACAGTTTCTGTCAAATGACAATTCTTCTCGGGTTCGAGGGTCTTATTCTCCCGATGTCTGGAAATGAAGTCTGAGGAGTGTATTCTTGGAGTGTATTAGATGTTTTCAGAGATCCGACGAACCGTCTTCTGTTACTGTATGGGCTCCATCTGTTGAGTAATTTTTAAAAGCATTGATGAGAATACTTGTTTATTTCATAAACTTTTTCCTTCCTCTCTCCCAAAGAAAATACATTATTACTATACTTTTATTCCAAGAATTTCAGGACATTATTCTGTCAAATTTTGCCAAATGGGATTAAATATTACAAAATATAACAGCCTCACCATCATTTTAGACTTCTTGCAGGAATATATATCAGTGAAGCTTTAGTTCCCCAAGCAAGCGTCACTGTGTAGCCCTTGGATCTGTCCCCAGGTTCTGGGTGTGCAGACCGCCTGTGACTGAGGTGTCAGCATGACCTGCAGGCCTGGCTTCTATCTGATGATTCGCTCTTCCTGCTCACTAAAACAAACAAACAAAGGTGAAGACAAGACCCACCCGTCTAATTTTTTCTTTTTTTTTTAATTTCTTTTAGAGAGAGGAAGAGAGAGGGAGAGAGAGACAGAAACATCAACGATGGGAGAGGGCCATTGATTGGCTGCCCCCTGCACGCCGCCCGCTGGGGATCAAGCCCACAACCCCGGCATGTGCCCTGACCGGGAATCGAACCACAGTCTCCTGGATCCTAGGTCAATGCTCAGCCGCTGAGCCACGCCAGCCAGGCCCACCCCTCTATCTTTGCAGACCTGTGCAAATATGGCTTTATTTCTTGGCATTCAAGATATTTTTAATTTATCTCGGTTTAGAATTGAAGTGAACTGATACGTCTTTACGTTCTATCTTAAATGTCCTTTAAAAATAATAATCTATATAGAAGTTTCCTGTGCATCTCTCTCAGGACAGGAGGCCCCTTGGTTACTTTCATGTTTAGAAAGCATCATTCTCTCTGAGGGGCAGCTTCCTTAGTAACCTTAACCTCTCAGAATTTTCCCTTTAAAGTAAAATCAGACAGGATGCCATTAAAAGGTTGCGTGTTTTCTTCGGCAGACTCTTGATGAATTCATTTGTAAACACGTAGCCCCTGGACACAATTTTCAGGTTCAGGCAGGAGGAAAAGGGTGGGTTTGGATTCACTATGAAGGTTGCCCCACATAAACAACTGACTCCTTTTATCTTTTTTTGCAAAAACTTTTTTACAAAACAGTTTCTGTTTTTGTCTTGGCATATTTATGTTGAGTTTGTGTTGATGGCAACATCAAGACTCTTTGAGGGCAGGGACTATGGCGTTTGATTCATGTATTCAAAATGCATTGAGCATCTTTCGTGAGCCAGGCACTAGGCTGGTGTGACTCCACAATGCTGCAGAAAGGACCCGGCTCCTGCCCTCTTGGAATCCATAATATTTGTATTCTAAATCACAGTTGCTGAGACTGTGTATATGTGAGGGAGAGACATGAACCCTCTGGGCAGTCAGATGTATGGAGAGTTAAGTGTGTCCTGTCTTTAAAGAGCCCACAGATTTCAGGAACGCAGCCCTGATGAAAGGATATAAGACAAACACCACAGGACAGTGAAAGCTTGGAATATGTTGGAGGCAGAAAGTAACTCTGCCTCCCACTGGCTAGTGTTCTCTTTCACTGATATGGAATTTTTTAAGTGTAATAAATATCTTCTGGCATCTCTAAGGCCACAAGTAAATGTAATTACCGTTTCGGAGCCAAACACTTGTCCATAGGGGACCTTGACACCCTGGCTCGAGAAGGCCTTAGCTGGAGAGAATCGTGAAGAGAGATCAGAGCAGGCATAGGGAGGGAACAGCCTTTCCCTTCTGAGAGCTGTGGGTTTGTAGTGAAACGGGATGCATAGACACAGTCCCCACAAGCAGAACCGTTTCCAGCCAAACAGGTCAAGACCGAGTGTATCTTCCGGCCCAGTCCCTGCCAACAGTGCAGTGACCACAGTGCTTGGGGGAAAAGTGTCTTTCAAAACAGGACCCTTTCTTGGGTTCTTAGATTCATGGCTACCACCATCATGGCCCCAACAGGAAAGAAAATCAGCAATAAACCAAACCAAGCAGCTCCAGTGTAAAATGTGGAGAACACACACACACAGCTCAGTTCCCTTTCAGAGTCCTGCAAATGCCTGCACCTCCTCGCCCCCTTCAGGTTGAGCTGCTCAGCTTTATGAACTGTGAAATTTACATTTGTGCTCTTTCAACCCACATATACTGTTTAGGTTTATGAAGTTGCAGCAAGCTGCCCATTCGACGAAACTGCAGTGTTTATTCTCGTATCGTGTAGAAATAAAACAACCACCGTGTGGGACAACATTGTGACAGTCCATTCCAACTGTTTTCAGACACATCCGTCAACACCCTTTGCTCACATTCCAGGGCCACCTGCACATCACACGTAACGATCCTCAAGTTGGGGGGGGTGGGGG